GTTTGGTTAAATTATGTTTTGGTTAAAATAAATTTAAGTTTCTCTGATCATGTGCGGTCCTCTCTTCTTTGTCCTTCCTGGAGCCGGGTCTTGACGGTGGTCCTTTTATACACGCTGGTCTCTTATCTGGAACATAACCTGCTCCGAAGCAGTGCAGCATAAGTCAGCATAAGTTTCCATGGAGATGTACCTGGAAAGAAGTGAAACCACCGTCATAGTACCGAAAACCCGAAGTTAGGGGGAACTAAAAATAAGAATTGTTGTGTTTTTGTTACCTTAGATTGAGCCCTTCATATCATATAAACAACATCACCATAATCAAGAACGGGCAGGAAAGTAGCTGATATCAGAAACTTCCGTGCTTTGACAGAAAAGCATGCCTTATTTCTGTAATAAACACCAAGTTTCACCCTTATTTTGAAGACCAAATTTTTAATGTGTGCTTTCAATGAGAGTTCCCCATCAATAATTAATCCCAGGTATTTGTAACTAGTAACCAGCTCGAGTGCTTTACCTTGGACAGTTGTAATTGAGGGGATATTCTCCGGGAGAACTGATGAAGTTGAGTAAAGCATCCCTTTGGATTTTTTTTTTTGGGGGGGGGGATTTTATTTCAAGAAAAAGTAGAAGTATTATCAATTTGAATAATGAAAAATGAAACATATTTGTTGAAAAATGATAATGGTTGAAGAAATGTTATTGCATTTAAATTAAAGTTGTTTATTTTCTTTGAAGTGTTTAAAGCAATAACTAATGTCATGGTTGTGTGTTTTAAAGGTTAGCAACCTGTTGCTACTACTGCTGCTATTGTTGCTACTATCTATGTAATGTCATACTAACGCATAAAATTAAAGCAAAGCAAAGAAGAGCTGAGTTGCCCAATCGTCATCTGTACCTACCTCAAAGCCTTTTTCAAATTTAGGCAGAACTGATGTCAAAAGCCAAATAACTTGACGGGTATGAATGTCCCTCAAGGGGTGCCTGGGTTTGGCTGAACGTTGCCTGATAGTAAGAGAAGAAGAAGGATGAGACACTTTTGTTTTATATTCAAAACAAGAACAACCTGAACAAACCTGTGAGCAGCTAGCAAGTGAAGACATATGGATGTCAACAAATGATGAAATTGAGTGGTCTCCTTGCCCAAGAAATGAGTCACCCCGCATGGCTGCCAATGTATTAAGGATGCAACCAGGGCCACCATGGATAGCAGTTACTCATGGGCAGGATATCAAGTCTTCTACTGAGGTTTTCATCCCAGATTCCATCCAGAAAATTATTCTGGATTTTGCCACTTTAGAAGGAAGGTGTGTTTTTGGAGAGAGGTGGAAGGAGATGGACCAAACCCATTTACAAGCCTACTTTGAGGTTCTCATCCTTGCGGGAGTTTTCAGGCCACAACGGGGAATCCACAGAATCCTTGTGGGATGCAGACGCTGACAAGGAACTTTTCAGTGCAACAATGTCCCTGGAAAACTTTCACATAATTTCCAGAATTATCCGCTTTGATAGTCGAGATGACAGACCAGCTTGATGGCAGAGAAATAAGCTAGCTGCCCTCAGGACAGCGTGGAATAAGTGGGTGTACTGCCTCCCCCTGTTTTACAGCCCTGGGCCTAATGTCATCATTGATGAGCAGCTGATGCCATTTAGGGGCCGCTGCCCATTTAGACAGCATAAACCATCTAAACCTGCAAAATATGGTATAAAGATCTGGGCTGCCTGTGATGCCACTTCCTCATAGGATTGAAGCTTACACAGGGAAACCTGATAGAGGAGCACCTGAGGAAAATCTAGGAATAAGAGTTGAATGTGTTCAGCTTGTGTTCTGTAAACTGACTGAATGAGTTCAATTTCAAATGAAGTTCAAATAAATAAAAGTTGCTTCATTTGTAAATTTGTTGCTTTTTTTCGACTAATATCTACGGAAGCCGAGAGCGGTCGTTTTCTGCTGCTGTTCTTTCGTTGCCATTTTCTCGAGATAACGAGTTAATTTATCTCGAGAAAACCAACTTCATTCAGCCTGTGTCAGACCTCGAGAGAAGTAAAGTCTGATGCGTTCATCAATGACAGATGATCCTCGATTTGACACTTTCAGTCCGTTCTCGGCAAAGTCACTGCTGCACTCCAGAGCGTCACTC